GTTTACGGACCAGACCCGCGCCCCGCAGCCGGCGGGCTCCGCCCCGCGCGGGGCTCCCGTGCGTGTGCATTGTCGGAGCTGCGCCAATTACAGGGCGTTTTGCTTCAAGACGACATTATGCAAGTCGTCCCAGAGGGCGCCTGAAGCACACAGGCTCCCGCCCGGGCGCGTTCGTTAATTACAGGGACGCTCCCCTGCGCCCCCCTCGTTCCCCAGGGCGCCCCTCGGAGGCTACCGCCAGCAGCCCGCAGTGTTCACTAGGCACCACCTGTTTCACGTGCGCTAACTCGGGTCATTCTCACGCCAGGCCTGTAAGGTAAGCGGTAGTATTGGCCCATTTCAGGGAGCAGGAGACTGAGGCACAGAGAGGCTTAGCAGTTTGCGCAGGTCACACCTAATCATTCCCAGAGCTGAGCGTCAAGTCCCGGCAGCCTGGCTCCCCAGGGCACGTCCTAGCGGCTTTCTAAAGCCTTCTAGCCCAGGGCCACCGCACAGATGGACAAGGCCGTGGGTTTCTACCAGGAAGCCACTTCCCCCAGCTCAGCTCACAGTGAACCCCACTCTCCAGGGACCTCTGAGGAAATTCACGCTTTGCCTCTTCGCCTGTGCTGCCTTTTAGTGATGTGTTTCCTTCTGCTGTAAGCACCTTGTCCGCTCCAAGGTTAAAAATATGTATATATTTTAATCTTTGTTGTTGAGAGTATTACAGATGTCCCCCCCATTTCTCCCTTCCACCGTGTTCCCACCCCACCCCAGGCTTTCTCCTCACTATTACCTGTGTCCGTAGATTATGCATATATGCATGTGTCACTATTACCTGTGTCCATAGATTATGCATATATGCATGTGTCACTATTATCTGTGTCCGTAGATTATGCATATATGCATGTGTCACTCTTTGTGCCCATAAATTATGCATATATGCATGTGTCAGCTCCTGAGACTGTAAACACCTGAAGGCAAGGACTGTGCTGCCTTCCCCGGGGCCCAGCCGTGTGATGGTGGCGGTGGGAAGGATAGTGAATGTGATCAGATGCTGCTGCTGAGAGCCAAGGGACCATCGAAAACTGTCTTTTGCAGGAGGAAGGCAGGAAGTAGATAAAGTCAGGCTGAGCCTGTTTGGGATGAGAAAGCGGTTTCCACTGTAGCTGAAATGAAGGGTGACTACGTTCCCAGCAGGGGCCGTAGCTCAGGTTTTGATCTCTCGGTCGGAGAATGTACTGGCCAAAGTGACAGGATCCCAGGTGAGCTCTGAGATCAAGAAGAGGTTCCAGCATAGACTTGGTTTCCCTCCCCCTAGGCTTTTCCTCTCCCCACGTGGTGTAGAGGGGTGCAGAAGGGGCAACCACGCCCTAGGCACCCCCAGGCCTGTCTTTCCTGGGCTGGTCCACCCTGCCCACCCTCTATACTCTGCTGCAGGTTTAAACAGCTCTGTCACCTGAAGATTCAAGTAGCAGAGGACCTATGGTTGTGACTTTCATTTAGCGATGGGAGTGCGGGGAGGGAGGGGCAGAGAAAGGCAGGATGGCCTTTGAGGTGCAGCTTATTGATACTGACTTTTCTCCTGTATCTTCATCTCCCTCCTGCATGGGGAGGAAGTTAAATGGATCCTTTGATTAGAGTCAGAATCTGGTTTTTGCTTCAAGTCTGATACTTTCCTTCTCCGCCAGTGTGTTCGGTAGCCACTTTCTCCCTGACTGACCCGGGGAGAGCACATCTTGCTACTGTGAATACTAATTTTCTTCTAAGAACCACAGATTATCCAGGTAGCAGATATTTTAACCATTAGCCTGACTTTGTAATGAAAGTAAATTCTAGAGACACTAGTGCACTTATAGGGGAAATAAACCAAGATTATTATTTGCAAATAAAACAGGGTACAAAGGGAATATACTATAAATCTCAGTATTACAAAAAAAAAAAAAAAGAGGGAAAGAAAAGAAAAAGAGAAAAGCATGTATGAATGTATGAATTCGCATTTTGAAAAAGACTTAAGGAAATATGCCAAATATTAAAAGAGGTAACCTCTGGCGATAGTGAGACTACATATGATTTTTATCTTGTGCATTAAACTGTCTACATTTCCCAAATTTTCTACAGTGTAAGAATTCATTATAAATGTCAGTTCTATAAAATTGGTTGAGATTTCCCTAGTGGCTTCTTATGTGGCCAATTTTAGGAAATGTCCCACTCATGCTTGCAGAGAATGCTGTCTCTGTTTGGGGATACAAATTTCTATCTTATGTCTCTCCTATATAAGGCTTTAAAGCATTCTAAATTCTTAATTTTTGGTCTTGTTTTACCAGCTTTTGAGAGAGGAATTAAAATCTCTCACGTGTTTGTGGGCTTGTTAATTTCTCCTTCTGATTTGTTAAATTTTCGTTTCTGGCTTTTTCTTAGTAACTTTTTTTTTTTTTTTTAGTCAATAGGCAACCTCTCTAAGACTCTTTTTTAAAAAAAAACTTTATTGATTTCAGAGAGAGGAAGGGAGAGGAAGAGAGAGAGAGAGATAAACATCAATGATGAGTCATTGGTCGGCTGCCTCCTGCATGCCCCCTGCTGGGGATCAAGCCTGCAACCTGGGCATGTGCCCTGACAGGGAATGGAACCTCGATCTCCTGGATCCTAGGTCAATGCTCAACCACTGAGCCATGCCCGGAGGGGCGCTAAGACTCTTTTTAAAAAACCTATCTTTAGTGTATATTTATATATATTTTTCAATTTTAAGTGTAACTATAGACCCCCTATAGCTAGATTTTTAAAATTATGTTAATGAGTGAGTCTGTTTTTATATTTATTCTGATCACTGGTATTTTAAAAATAATTTCTGCCATCTTATTTTGTGTTTCCTGTTTGTCATGCTTTCTCATTCTTTCCTATTTTCCTTTATTTGGATTTATCTAGGGTTCTTTGTTCACTGTACTGAGCTCTGCTTATTTGAAAGTCAACTAAAGTCTAAATTTAATTGGTACTTATACATTTTCCTTGAATAAGACAAGAATTTTTATTTTACTTTCCCTCAGAAATACTTTTGCTCCCCCTCCTTCATTATTAGTATCACCCAGTACGTTGAATCCAGCTTAAAAATTTTTTGTTTTAATAGTCATCAGTCATATTGATACAGTTGTATATCAGTAACAGGAAAGGAACAAAGGGAAGGCCAAATATTATTGTCATTTGTGCAGCTTTTCCAGGAAGCTGCAGTTTAACACTCCCCAGGAAGGGACTGGATAGGGGAATAACAGACGCATGTCCAATAAAGTCTGGGTGACAGGGAAGGTACTTTCATGTCAGGCACACCTAGGAACAGGTCATCTGCCAGAGTAGGCATGGCCACGGCAAGCGTGGGAAGATTGGAGATAGTTAATCTCCTAAACAAAGGAGTGCTCTCTCTCGGTGTGCTCTTGTGCTCTTGTGTTTTCAGGACTCTTGGGACTCTTGTTGCAGGGGGCTCACTCTCTTGGCTCCCCTGCATTCACCCACGTGGCTCACGGCCATGTGGGCCCCACACAATGGACTAACGGACTGCAACTAGCCTAATGCTAAGCCGGACCCAGCTCCACCATGGAACAGAAACTTTGGACGTGGCTTTGCTTTTAGCTCTGCCAAATCCCCATCAGAAGATCTTCCAGGACTGGATTAAGGGATATGGGACTTTGGAAACCCAAGGATGTAAGTCCATAAAAATAAAGCTTTCTACTCCATCTCATCCTTGTGTGGGGGCCTCCAGAAATGCTTTTTCCAGTGGTACCACAAGAACCCCACCCCCACCAGCAATGGAGAAAGAACATCCACGCATTTCTTCGATGACAATATAACACACGTAGGTTAAGTTATCAATGCATTCTGCAATGCTTATTAAAAAATAGCAACCCTCTGCCTACTGTCCTCCATTTGTGTCCTAAGCAAATATATTGAACAATTTCAGACATTTAAAAAAAAATTTAAACCTCTCTATAATGTTCATATTGCTATTTGTTGATTTTTAGTTTTTCGGCATTATCTATTAATTTCGCACTATGAACATTG